ATGAACCTTCTTTGTGATCAACACATAATCCTAGAAGAGGTCAGTCCTGGCTTGGTAGGGGACCACTCATCACCAGTCTAACATCTGAAATGTTGAACCGATTTTGTACTTTCTCTGCCCGCCTTGGGGCTTTACTTGCAGTTCCAACCAATAATCAGGTCTGTGTGTACATTTGTTTTCTTCAGGTGTCAGGAACCTGAGGGGCTCATATATAAATCTTCCACCCAGCATATAGCTGAATAAATGCCATGCACACAGAACTACCGCCACTAGATGGAGCCAAGGAGCATTTCCTATACTCCTCAGCACCCTCTAGTGGCAATAATGACGTGCAAACGGAACAGAAGATTTATAAATTAACCCCTCAGCGTTACGTTGTTTGTTATAGTTAGCTAGGATCTATTGTAACTACCAATAACTACCAATTCTTTCAGTAGACATCGGTGTTAACTCACCAAATAGCAACATATTCAATAGTTTCACACTGTGTGTTATTTGTGGACAAAAGTCAGCAATTTAAGATCAATAACAAATAAATGTCTTTATTGTCCATTGAGGGACACAGGATTTGGGGAATTCATAGGATTATACTGCCTCCTACAGGAGGTTGGGATGCTGGCAAACAAAAAAATATTAAGCCAGGCCCAATATAACCCCGCCTCCAAACGTCATGCCTCAGTTTTTCACTAGTGTCCTAGGAGGTTGGAAGATACAGCTCTGCTTTATTATAACTAACTATAGTCTTGGCAGCCTTATTATTCCTTTTTTCACTTTATTTTTTATTCAATTGAGATCTTCACTACACTTTAGATATTGTTTCTTCGGTGACTTCAATCCAGATATACTGCTTGCGCTTGTCTCTACACAGCAGCTATCCAGATCTGCGTATCCTCATCAACAACTTTGGAGGCTGTAGCTGGGCTCTGCTGGACAGGATGATTGCCAGGCTAGCCTGGAATGTGACCTTCGGGCACTGAGCTTTGCATTGTGGCACATTCCAGACCTTTGTGTACTGTGCCAGTAGCCACAGAGGGCTCCCCAGGTCCAGAGTCATGGAGCAATGACCCAACCTTAGAAGAATCACTTAGTAAGGCAAGTGGTGCTGAAGCACTGGAAGCTACCTCACTGTTGTGCAGTTGCGCCCTTTTTTAATATTTCACACCAACTTCTGGTTTCACCGCGGTAAGGGGTAGGGATGGGGGGCTTGAGCACTTACATCATTAGATAGGTGAAGCATTCCCCCACCTTTCAACCTAAAGGAAGGACCATCTCACTGAAACTCCTCATGGAAATTCTTGATTCCCCTTTTTCCATCCTTTGTTACATCTCAGCACTGCTGGTCTGCTGCCTCTTTGCTGCCACTTCAGAATTATTAAGCATCTCGTGGATCATCTGGTCTCATTCCACTGCTCGCCTACTTTGTCACCCCTGGCCACCTGCGACCCTCATCAGCACCAGCTGCTTGGGTTTGTGAGTACCTTGTGAAGCCTTGCCTCACTTTGGGCCTAGCTGGTTCTCTGCTACACGGTGTAATGTCTTTTCAAAGATGCACAGAGGACAGTCCCGCTGCAACAGGTGAGCTCTGCCCATTTTCCCCTTCTGCTTCTAGAGGCAATTTCCCGGTATCCCCAGCAGGAACTGAAGCCTATAACCTAAATCTTGGGACTCCTATTATTATCCTGATGGGAGTCTGCTTCATCTACGTTGGCTTGGGCTGAGACCTCCCCTGTGACCACAAGGCCCCTTATGCCCACATCAGTTTTTTTGTTTGATATTTGGCCCAGTAAACATTTTGTACTTATTGTCTGATCTTCTACTCTTCAGCTAGCTTTTTAGTTTAAACTTCTACTTTTGGTGGGTAGTTGCTTGGTTCTCCATTTTGCTTATTGAGGCCCATCACTCCTTCAGGTAGCATTTTGGACCCTCCTTATCTAGCCGTGATTCGGGAGTTGACTCCTTTCGGTGGCGTCCCGATGCAAGTGCGCGATGACATCAGCAGGCAATTGCGTGATGACGTCATTGCGCAATGCGCTGTCATCTAATTGACGCCTGCCGGGTCCCCTCCTCTCTCCTGACACTGTCAGGCTCTCTGTGAGTCATTTTGAGTGAGTCATTGACTCAGACTGTGAGTCATTTTGAGTCATTTTGGTGTCACCCCTCCAATGGTGTCACACCCCCTGCTCCCCCCTTGTGACGCCACTGACTCCTTCAGATACTCTTTTGTAGTAAGATCACCACATCTGTTGTATGTCTCAGTGGCTGTTGTCCACCCCTCGGTCGGACTTCTTTTGGATGTCGCGACTGGTGGATGTAAACATGAACTGGATGACATTTAGTTGGCTGAAGTGTCATAAACTGCCAATGTATTTCTTGGTTTCACTTTTTCCGTCCTCTGTTACTTCTCTGCTGCTTCTGTGCAGCCACTTCCTGTCTATATGCACTCCAGCGTTGGCTGCATGGCATTTCTCAGGGCGAGTTTCCTGATAGTGACAAGAGTGGATCATGTCTGTGTAATGTGTGTCGGTACAACCTCTTGTAGTCTTGATTTGGAGAGGGCATGATAGGGTAACGATGCAGGAGAACGATCAGGAGATGTCACCCCCATAATATGAAGTCTCTGAGATGTCATTTGATTGAAAGCTGCAGATTTAAAAATGACTTTGGAAATAAATGTAACTTGTTGAAGCTTTTATAAGATTTTAGTGATTTGGGTTCATATATATTTTAATTATCGTGTGCAAAGAAATTATGATTGCAAACTTTTCTAATACGATGGTGACTGAATTGAAGGTTTTTGGGGCGAAATGATAAAATACTTCACACAGCTGAATGAACTGAGGAGGCCTTCAGTGACCCTTTAGTGAGGGAAGCGACTGTCCCGGCCACATACATTGTAAAGGTGCCCATACACCTTACGATAATCGTATGCGATCGCGCTTTCGTCAGATAATCGCAAGGTGTATGGGCAGTGTACAACCGCAAATACTGTACAATCGTACGACTCTTGACTTTCAAGCATGTTTGAAAACTTCGGTCGATCGTACGATTATTGCAAGGTTGGTGGCGTTTCCGTACGTCAAAAGTCGTACGATCTACGCTGCTCATGCGCAAACGGAAATACGTGCGGTTGATAACCGCAATTCGTCCAGGTGCTTTTCTTTAATTTCGGCTAATTGAACCTTGCGATAATCGTGGTATAATGGGGCCGCCGTACGACAATCGTACGACGATTCGATCATAAGACGAAAAGTGTCGTCCGATAACCGTAAGGTGTATGGCCACCGTAATAATAATAATAGCAGTTTCTGCTGCTGGTGGCAATCAGATCCCAACTGTCCTTTTTCCCAGGTCAGGTTGGAAGGTAAAAGGAAGAATGTGGTTGGTTGGTATCAGCAACCCGGACTCTCTCCTTTACAATACTTACACATTTCTGTATGTACCAGTTTGTCAGTCCAGACCTGAAGTAAAACTATTTTCTTCCCCGATATGTCCTTTGTGATGGGATGATTATTCCTACTACGGTAATAAATTGTGATGGGAAAGAGATAACGGGGCCAATTTGCAGAGTTATCTGTGCTCATGACCAATAATTAGACTCCAGCTGTCATTATTCTGGTGTTGGGTAGAAATAAATCTGAATATATGATTGTTTGAAATGGCCAACACTCATAATTTCCCTTTTCTCCGGAGGTTTAGAATGCAGATTCTTTGAATTATTTTGCTTCTATCCCTTCCCTGTGTGATTTGCAGCCACCCCTAGAACAACCATGTCAGTATCATTGGCAGAGCAGAATGTGACAGGCAGTTTCTCCTATCTGCCTCTTACATTAAGCTGCCACATGTCAGCGGCGTGCGTCCCCCAAGCGTTGGCTCCGGCTCCGTCACAGGCGATAGAGGTGCCTCGGGCAGCGTTGTTCTCTAATCATTCAATAGGATAGCACTGTCTATTGTTTACATTATCAGGGGGGACTGATGATCAGACGGTTACTCCAGTCAGTGCAATGTTATGGAAATATTAGTGATCTTACCTTAATAGTAAAGCTGGAGAAGTGATAGCGGACACATGGCTATAGCCCAACAATGGTGAGCTGCACTGCCTTGCCTGTGATGCCATCTAGGGGTCATTCTCAACATTACACTGAGACCCTGCAAAACTCAGGGGGCCTATGCAGGTCCGGATTTATTCTCTCTGCTGCCCCAAGGCCAGGTTCCTCAATGTGCCCCCCCATGGAGAATGGCAGACCTGCAGGCTGCATACAAGTGATCTCGTCGACATCGGCAAGATCACTTGTACAGAACAAGCGGTGGCTTTCCCGCTGTACATTTAGCTCTGCTTACCCAAAGCAGGGATAAATGTAGAAAACAACTGCCTGCCCGGCGACCCGGAACTGCATGTCCCAGGCATCAGGAGATAGGAATTCCACAAGCGTGCTGCCCCTCCACTCCCTGCTGCCCCAAGGCCGGGCCTTGGTTGGCCTTGTGGGAAATCCAGCCCTGGGCCTATGTGGGAAGTGAAGAGAGTGGTCTATGTATTGCCCTATTTCTCTGACGTAAAACAGTAAACTCAGTTATAAAAAAAATAAATATTAGAAGATATTAGTAGAAGAGGTTTTTCTACTTTGGCACTGACAGTAGAAGCACTTCTATTACCCGAACTGAACATCAAGGAAGGGGCGCCCTTCCAATGGAGGGTGATAGAATTCACATTATCATATTACATTACATTGATGATAAACTCCATGGGACTAGTTTGCTGCTGATTGATGGAAACCTGTACTGGGATAAAATGAAAGCTGCCGGACTTCTCCCTCTGAAAATGTTAGTTGCCTGACTGTCATGCTGATCCAGCGGCTTCAGTACTTTCTAAGGCACTGGCCCGGAATGAGTATGGAAGTCAGAAGTCAGCAAATATCAGAAATGGCGGCGTTTGCATTTCTCTGGTTGTTACTTATTCTGTGCGGATATCCTGATTTATTCCCGGAATGATTTATCTTTTTCAGCACCCATACCCAACAGAGGACGAGAAGCGGCAGATCGCTGGACAGACAAACCTCACATTATTGCAAGTCAACAACTGGTGAGTGCCCGGGTGGGGGGACGAATGCACCTCCATTATGAAAGACTCCATAGGTAATCCCCTATAAATACATTCCTATAGGTAGATGCTATTGCTACCAGTGAATGCTCTGCATCTTCCTATGAAGCTGTAGAAGCAGAGGTCACATGACTTTGGGCTACAATTTGGGATTTTCCTTTTTTTAGAATTGCATGTCCTTGTCTAAGATAACAAGTTCATATTTTCATTGCATTTACCTACACTGCAAGGGGAAAATGGGAAGAAGAATCTGATTGGTTGTTATAGTTGAAGTATAGAACATGTATAAATCTGTAAAATCATTTCAGGCAAATTATATTTAAAAAAACTGACAGTTGCCAGCATTGTATGGAGTCAGGGGGCAGAAAGTCAACCCCTCCCCCCACCACCATTTTATTGTTAATAATAATAAATAATGTATTTATTGAACTATATTCCTCTTGGATATATCCAGTTCAGATAATGTCGGGATTTAGCCGGATTATGAAAACTTGTCATTTCTTTTAGCGCCTGCTGCTGGCGTTTGTTCACACTTCCCAGTGGCAGGACATGTTTTCCCGGCATGTTGTTACATTAACCAAGGCAGAGCTTTGTAGGCTGAGCAAGTTTTATCCAGCAAAAACATACAAAGTAGAATAAAGACTTTGTAGAGATCCAAAAGAATAACTTTGTTCAGTGAAAGTTTCAGCGTATGGCACCTGCACTGAACTGTCATTTGTGGGACATCTGCGCCCTCTAGTGGATGCAACAGCAACAACCAGCTGATTTCCTGCTCTGTCCTTGTGGCTGAATTGTGTCATCCCAAATCTTTTATTGGAAATATTTGATTATTATATTTAGCATTTCGGAATTTTACAATAAAAGTAAAGCGTACAGACTGCAGACATGTATAAGGACCTGTATGGACAGGCTTTGGGCTTGTGTCGAGGACACTTCTGAGATCATTCAGAATGCATTGACAGGTGCAGTTGACCTGCTTCAATCAGGCTTTGCATTTTTTTGGACTTTTATGTGAATGCAAACCCCATATGAAGCAAACAAAAGCCCATCAACACAGGTCCTACCAGTACGTTGAAGGTAACTTCTTTCCTGTTTTAAGACAATGGGACACATTTACGTCTGTGGTGCACATACCAACCACATATATCATTATATAACCTGCAGTATAAACAAGAATTTAGGATTCATTGCCAGGAGCTGGTTTATTTTATGAGCTCCTGCATTCACTGTCCCAGGACCTGGGGGGAAAACATGTGAATACAATGGGCTGTATTCATCAGGGACCATTCTAGCTTTCAGCACATGTCACTCTTCATCAGGCACCAGATCATCCTCCCTTAGTCCTGTTTTGTAGTTTGAAGCTCCTAAATGCTCAACAACAAAACTTGCATGCGTTTAAATTGTCCCTGTTCACATATGAGCGCTCAGGCGCCTGGAGTTCAACGCATGGAGCTCAGAATGGTGCACAAGCTGCTTTTGAAGCAGAATGGGGTGTTTATGGTCCCATAGATGTCAATGGAAGTGCCTAAAAATGAATCCTTTTCAAGGCTAATGAACCATCTTCTTATTCTAGTACCTACTGTAGCTTTCCATTGGCTAAAACAAATCCTTCAAGCCAGAATACATCTGAAAAATGCAATAAACACCCAAAACGCTCCAAAATCACCTATAAACACTGACATATCCTGGGATGAGTTTTGATATTGTTTCACTGAAGTGGTTTTGCAGTCCAGATATTTGTTTATTGATGGCCTCTGGCTAACCACACCAGTGTCACCATCATAGACCAGTGCTACGCTCAGACTGTTCCCCCGTAGAATGTACATACATATTGGACTATAGCTGTTGTGTTTCAGGTTCTTTCCTTATCGCGGTCCGGCATACACATGTGGATTTACCTTCCACATGTAGCTGCAGATTCTTTTCATCCTGCAGAGCAGACGTGACTGTTGTCCTCTTGGCGTGTTCTAGGTTCATCAACGCTCGGCGGCGTATCCTCCAGCCAATGTTAGATGCCAGTAATCCAGATCCAGCACCAAAAGCGAAGAAGATAAAATCTCAGCACCGGCCAACGCAGAGGTTCTGGCCCAACTCCCTCGCAGCTGGAGTCCTACAGCAACAAGGAGGGTTACCTGGGACCAATTCTGATGGTGAGTGTGGAACTTGGGGGCCACAGGACTCGGGACACTGGTCTGTATAGTGAAGACTACCCACCACACTGAGTCTCATACATGAAAAAGAAACCATTTTGTTTCCCATAGCAACTGTATTCACTTTCATGAAGCTGCTGCAGTATGGAGGACTGGAAGGGAGGCGGTGCCGGGTCTCTATAGACTAGAATGGTGCTGTTATGTGTAAATAGCAATGAACTGTGTTGGATTATTTTGTCAATCACCAACAAGTCGATGCCGGAGATGTTTAGTCATATTCCGCCTCCCGCCTTCATGCAGCAGTTTATGAGAATGCGCCTGCATGTCTGATTGCCATCTTGTGTCTGTGGCCCACTTAAACCCCATTAGCAATGGTGATGTGTGCCAGCAGTGCTCTCCGGTACCATTATCCTGCTTCTCAATGTTCATAGGAGTGTCCGGGCGCAGTCAGCACAGCGCCACAGCTCTGAGAGTCCAGACTGCACCAGCTGTGGTTGCTCTGTCCATGAGGTCCTGGGGCAACAGGTCTTGGCATCAGTTTGGGATGAAATGCTTCTGAGATCATTCAGAATTCATGGACAGGTACATCTGACCTCCTGACCGGACTCAAGAGGGGTTTGCATTTCCCGTACAAGTCAATGAGAATGCAAAACCGACTTGAAGCAAAAAAAAAAAAA